CAGACTTTGTCCTGCACGCCTCTCCAGTGAAGCAGGAGGAGGTTGGACTCCCACCTCCCACAGGTTTTGCCGAGTACCAGCACCATCTACCGGGCATCTGGGCACCTACTGGGCATGCCAGCAATGCTGACAGTGTTCCCCACCCACCCCACTCCCCCAAACCTTGGGAGGAACAGAGCATCTGTTCCTCCCTTTGTGTCCCAGGCAGGAACCCCAGTGACTGCTCATGGTGTCCAGAAGCGCAGACAGCCTGCAAACCCAACCAACACACCAGAGCCACAAGAGGTTTAGCAAGGGCAGAGCACAGCCCTGAAAAGTGTTTCTGCCAAGCACACCACAACCAACCCCACTTAGCATGCTGAGCCCAAGAGTCAGTTAAAAGTCTCTTGAAAGATGGCTGCAAGAGCCAAGGAACCAGCGGAGAACTGCTCTCAGAGGTGACAGTGCAGGTCTAGCACGCTCCTACCACATGGACTTGCTATGTGTAGGAGGCTACTGGTAGGCGCTCAGGTCTAGCTCCTGCAGCAATTCCCTCCCAGGGCTCGTTGCCCTGAGCGGAGCTCCCTGCAGACCTGACCAGGGCTGTCCAGCCCTCAGCACTGCACAGCTGCCACTGCCTGCAGGGCGCCTGTCTCAGGGTGCTTGGTTGGCCACCAAGGCCACAAGCATGTCTTGGGGACCAGCTGAAGCAAGGACAGCAGGTGATCCTTCTACCACACCCAAGCTGGTTGTCTGTCCGCAGTCCTCGTTGCTGACCAGAGCGTTCCTTGAGATGCAGAGACAACACAACGCCCTTCCCAAGCCACAGCCATGAGCCTCACACCGCCCTGCGGGTGGCAGCCACGCTGTGTGTGCACCAACAAAGCCTGCTCTCCTACCTGTTCACCTCCTCCCTCAGTCAACTCTACTGCAGGGAAACTTGCCATTTCTTATTCTGAATGTCCCACTTTCTAGAACGGTTTCCGCACCACAGCAATTAACCTGGTAGATCCCTCCTTCCAGAAAATACAACTTGCCCAACTGTTTCATCACAACTTTCAGCTGATATATTGTGTATCTATTAATTACACAATGTTCTGGTGGCTCTTCATTCATGCTGTGCTACAAGGGCTCTTTACTGAATTCCCCTCAATGACAATTATAGACTGATCTGGCACTCTGGGGGGTAGTTTCAGGGACTTTTTATCTGCTTGGAGATTCTGCCACAAGTCTAGAAACCTGCAAGCTTCTAATTTACCTCTGACACAGCCTAGAGTCTAAACACAACATGAGCACAAAATGACTTGAGAGTGAATACTTAAGCTGTGAAGACAATCCTCCCAAAAACAGGCACTCGCAGTTAGTTTGGAAGATCCCGTCACACAGCCAGCATGCCCCAACAAGACTGGCCTGTTGGACCCCGACCTTAGGACACGTACCTTGGCGTAAGAGTCAGCATCATTACTCCTATGTAACGGCGCTTTGTCTCTGTATTGCCAAACCAAGAGCCTGTCAAAGGAAAGGACATCAAATGACAAGGCTGAAAACAGACATGCACTCAAAATAGGGCTGGTCTGAGCCACTCGAGTCACAAAGTCCACACACCTAAAGGCAGACATCGTGGGGAGGGAGTCATTCTGATTCCCTACCAACAGCTTATTTAAGTTCCATTGACCGGTTAGAACTTTACAGGTATTGCATACTTCACTTTCCTGGTTTGAGTTGTCATTTTTTTGACTGAGAATATTACCCCATGGTGTCAACATGAGAACCACATAGCAAGAGTCTGCATTAAATAAATTATCACAAACACAAAGGAACAAAACCAGGCAGTGTTCTACAGGACTAAATTAACGACCTGTCCTTTACAATATAGCTGAATCCTGCACCTGCATTTCCATTAGTATACACAAGGCTAAGTAGCCCCCAGTTGCCAGGTCATCCTTTCCCTTTTTAAACACCAACAAATGGTCCACTGATTTACACATATGTTGAGATCTAATGGAAAGTAGCAATGGACACCAAAAAAATCCTCCTCTATCCATGGGGACTTAAATGCAAGCTACTTGGGACACTTTAAAAGTCTTTATCTGCAGCAGATGCAAGCCAGCATCCTCCTTGCAGTTTGTTAGGGCCCTGTGGGCAGGGAAGTAACAGCACAACTTTCCCATGAGGGAGGGGAGTTTTATGCCAGATGGGAGAATCTTGCTTGTCCTTCTCTCAGAAAAAGGGCCCAGAGCCCAGCTGTGCCAGAGCTTCCCTCTTTCATTCTCCTCCTTCCCCCAACACCCCAGCAGGGAGGCACCCAACTCACTTTTGCGCTGCTCCTCCTTTTGCAGGAACTTTCGCAGCCGGTCTGAGGGGATGGCAAAAGAGATGCCTGATGTCACCTTCATAGTGTTCACCCCAATCACTTCGCCATCCTGCAGGGGAAAGGGCACTGCATCGTTGTAGAGAGAAGGAGAACTACTGTGCAAGCCTGGAGTCCCACCTGTGCACCCATCCCTTCCCAGCCTGCTTCTTCTGCCTGACCCTGCTAAGGTTGGCCGGGGACTGGTCCCAACGGGCTGCAGCCCATGCAGCACCCCCCTGCCCTGCCACCATCAGCCATGCTGGCCTCACCAGGCACACCAGAGTCCCATTGGCTCAGGCTCCCCAAAACAGACGCCGCACAGGGCTCCCACACTGCGTTGATCCCCTGCTCCTCCTCACAAAGAGCCGGGAGCACGCACAGTCCCTCCCTCCCGGCAGCTGTAGCACCCACAAGTGCTCCCACCAAGGGCCACCGAGCCCCAGGGGGCACAGACCGAAGGGCACGCAGCACATCTCTGCCCCGGCCAGCAAGGGTGCAAGTAGGAGAACTTACCAAGTTGACAAGGGGGCCGCCAGAGTTCCCAAACTGCAGCAGAGAAGAGAGCAGTAAACAGGCCGTGAAAGAGACATCCTCACACAGCAGGACCCGCGGTAGGGAGGCAGAGTCCAGAAAACAGGGTCAGGCCGAGAAACGCAGCCCCAAGTGAGGGGCCAGAATCCCTTCGTCTCCCAGTGCTCTGTGTTTAGCCTCCTCTGACCTCATGGCACCCGCAGCCCTTCCCCAGCTCCCCCCTCCCCAAAGAGGGCAGCCAGGAGGAGGTGCCAACCCGCCGTGCACCGCAAGGTCCCCTTACATCAATAGCAGCATCAGTCTGGATGTACTCCATGTCAGAGGTGGCCAGGCCCAGCTCCCGGCTGCCCCGCTGGGCAGAGCTGACGATGCCGGAGGTGATGGTGTTCTGCAGGGCGAATGGGCTGCCCATGGCCACCACGAACTCTCCCTGCCGCACCTCGGAGGAGCGCCCAAGAGGCAGGGTGGGCAGCGGGTGCTGGAAGAGAGGAGAACGGTGAGCAGATGGGAGGGAAATAAGGGAGTGTTTCCACAACCACAATGCACACCTTAGGCTTGATCTTGATGGTAGCGATGTCTGCAACCTGGTCCACATCCTGCACCACAGCATCATACTGCTCACCACTGGCCAACTTCACCCGCACACGCCGCCGGTTTGCCACCACGTGCGCGTTGGTCACAATGAGCCCATCCGGAGACACCAGGAAACCCGAGCCATTAGAGATGGGCACATCACGGCCCGAAAAGGGATGCCTGCAAGGTGGGCACAGGTCAGGAAGGGGTGACAGGAACCCTGAAGGGATTAGGGGGGTGGGCAGGCAGCAGCCAGGCAAACTGGGTGGCCCAAACTGGTAGGCCTGGAAAGAAGCAGGGGATAGTGAGGATGTCTGGGCAACAGCATGGTGGGGGAAACTCCTTCACTTCCCCGTAAAAGGTCCCCATCTGGAGAGTCCACACAAACAGTACGCCACAGGGGGACAAGCAGGAAGGATAAGGAGTCCCTGCACAACTACAAAGGTACAAGTCCGCTGGCACCACAGAGGCAACGTGGGAAGCTTATGTGAGTGGAGAGTTGCAATGGATGGCACAGGCTCTTTAGGAAAGAGCAGCAAGGAGGCAAGTAGGAGGGGTTGTGATCTGCGCAAAGAAGCAGCCTAAACGCTCAGAGCCTTGCCTCAGAGCAGGTAACAAGCACTTGGGAGGTGATGGGTACATCTTTAGACAGCTAGAGGAAGACTCGCGACTGCAGGCCCTGGTCCCCCCGGGGGACGTCAATCACCCCGGATTCTATGGGAAGGCCTGGTGATAAGTGAGGCAAGGGACCTAGTGACACAAGACACAGAAAGGGTGAGGTGTTCACTGCCTTTTTGCCTGGTTCCTTGGGCCTCCCAAGTCCCTGTGCCCAGAGGCAGAGTCTGTGGGAATGCAGCATTACACAGAAGATCAAGGGAAGGATCGCTGAAGCCAAACGGACATGCACAAGTCCATGGCACCAGACAGGATACATGTGAGGGGGGTGGCTGATGTCCCTGCGAGTGCTCAAATGTCATAGTCATAAAGGTGGACTCCTGATGGCTGGAAAAGGGCAAGTCATACCAGCCTGCAAGATTGCCAAGAAAAAGGTTCCTGAAAACTGCAGATCAGTCAGAAAGTTACGGGGCAAACGATCCCAGAAACACTTTCTGGTGCACAGCAAACAAGAAGGGGACTGGGAGCAGCCAGGACAGAGTTACCAATGGCAAATCATGCTTGACCAACCTGGCTGGCTTCTGCGAACAGATGAGTGGTTATACAGATAAGGTGTGAGCAGCAGATATTGTTTACCTTAAGAAGGCTTTTAATGTGGTCTCCAGTTGTAACCTTCTAGCCATGCAGGTGACATGCAGGCTGATAATCAAATTGGGTGAATGGAAAACTGGCTGGACCACCGAGGTCCAAGGCTGGTTGGTGGTCAGCTACTGAGTGAAGGGCCAACACCATTTAATGCCTCTATTTGTGAACGGGAAGACGGGACACTGCACACACTCAGCAAGCCCGCAGGTGACACTACACTGGAAGGAGCAGTCACAAGCTGAAGGGCAGAGCTACTATTCAGAGGTGCCTTGACAAGCTGGAAACACAGGATGGCCAGAACATTATGGAGTTCAAAGGTAAATGCAAAGTCGTGCTCCCGGGATAGAGTAATCCCAGGACAACCTGGGGCCATTGCCTAGAAGGCAGCTCTGCCAAAACGGTCCTGGAGGACAAGAAGGTGGCGGTGCAGCAGCAGCAGCGGTGTGTCCTCATGGCAAAGGCCGACTGCAGGCCAGCTGTGTGCGCAGGCAGCGGGGCCAAGGGACCGATCTGTCCCTCCCGCAGCACTGCTGGGACGCCACCCGGGTGCGGTGCCCGGTTCGGGCTGCCTGGGACAGGAGGTGGCCGGGGCGGGAGACCGTGCGGCCGGAGAGGGTGGTGGATCCCTCCTCCCTGAGGG